TCTGTTTTAATTCCAAGTTTCTGTTTTAGTTTAAATTCATCCAAAACCAATCCCCCATTTATTTTAAAGTGTTAGATGTAACATCCCGTCCCGAAACTAACGAAACGTACGTGAGAATTTACAATTTTACCCCCTAGTTCGTTACTTTACGTGTAGTTTTGTGTTGTGTGGTGTTGTAGGACCACACACACACTCATACACCTCGTCTCACTCCCCTGGGATTCCCTCATTCCCTGTCTCTTCCCTGTCTCTTTTCTCTCTCTCTCTCTCACTCTCCCCGAGTTCTTCTTCTTCTTCCTTCTGCAAACACACAGACACACATACAAACATACTCAAACCTTCACCAATCAAGAAACCAAGACCACCCTCGTGTTCGTGGAGCTGAGAGGAGTCCAGTGGTGCCATTTTCAGGTAAGGATATAGTTGTTTTCACGTCGATATCACCACGGCCGAATTTGAACACTGTTCATGCAAACCTAATCTAGCTTGTTTTAGGAGATTCTAAGCTTGTAGTTGTGTTTGTGAGGTTCCCAGGAGCTTGGGAGTAGTTCGTTGGACGAGTTTTGACGTCGGGAAGGCTAAGTTCAAAGTTGGCCGACTTTTGAAGTTATGGACAGGTATGATCTAGCAATTTTTAGCCCTTGAAACTAGTCTATCGTGATTCTACTAGTCCTAAGCTTCATTTTGGCTTTTGAATCGTGAAAAATGGTTGAAAAACGAAGGAGAAAACTAAGTTTGAATTTTTCTCAGTTTTCCGGCGCCGTCGCCGGCGCCGGAGTCTCGCCGGAGAAGGAAGGGGAATATTCCGTTAAGTTTAACGGAATATTCCTAACGGCAGTGACGGCGTCAGTTAACGGTGACAGTTAAGTTTAACAGAATATTCCGTCAGGTTAACGGAATATTCCTGACGGCGTTAGTTGACACCGTCAGTGTGCAGTGCACGTGGCCGCGCGTGGGGGCGCGTGGGTCCGTGCCTAGGACGGCGCGTGGGGGCGCGTGCGTGGTCCAAAAATTATTTTAAAAATATGGGGGTGATCCTGAGGTTGTGTAGATCACATTGGTATATTCATTTGTCCAATTTGAGCAATGTATGAGAAGTTATTACGAGAAGTTGCTTAGGTGCTTTTAAATTAACGTTTTCGTAGCTTTTTCGCGTATAGGTGATTCGTTTTCCGAAGACGAGCGTTCATACTCGAGGCAGGGGGGCTACGACCCTTCTAATTATCAGTGAGTGGGCTTTTGTTTTCCGTATATACCTATATACATATTAATTCCCAGAAATAGATTAAAAAGAGTAATTGTTTTATGCCATACATTTTATTATTATTACTTATGCATCATCACATGTATTAGTAGTGGCATACATACATATATATATGTGTGTTTGATGCTGTGGACGCACAGGTAAGTGCCAGGTAAGCGGTGTTCACGTTGTTATGCATTCCTGTTTATTATGCAATAGTAGTTTGAGATGCTTAGAGAGCTCATAATCTGCACCCCCGGTGTTAGTGCTCCCGCCCGAGGCCAGGGCACAGCCTTCACGTGTATGTTCACCAGCACCGCATGCTCGCCTTGGATCCAAGATAGGTGCAAGCCTGTCGTACAGACCACATTAGGTGGTTCCGACTTGTAGGTGACCCGCGATTTATCGCCCAGCTTCACGTGATCGTAGCACTAGAGCATACATATATACATTACACCCAGCCTGTCGTACAGACCACGTTAGGTGGTTCCGACTCGTGTGCAGATTCAGTTATTGAGTTGAGAGTGGAGCTCTAGATGCAGCCGTACAGGTCACGTTAAGTGACTCCCGGCTGCTAGATTATATGTTATTGATGTTATTTACGCTTGAGCATTTATATTTGATTATGAGATTCTGAATGGCATATTATGGAGCATGAATGGCATATCATGGAGCATGATTGACATATCTATACATACGTATATATGTTCATTTTCTGGGAAGTATACAGGTTTTACGGCGAGGGGTTAGAATGTATTTTGCTAAAGAGTTTTCAAAGAACTTTGTTTTTGCCCACTCACGCTTTTGTTTTTGCGCCCCTCCAGGTTCTAGTGGTCTAGCAAGTTCGGTGGTTTATCCCAGAGGGCGTCCCGGCATTTCTGACAGACATTCACCATTGTAGGGTCACCTTCGGGTGTAAATACGTCGTATCTTTTCCTTTTGGACTGTTGTAGACTTGCTCTGAATTGTGTCTCACATACAATAGTACTTTGTATGCTAGTTAGTTTTTAATTATTAGTACTTTTTTTATTACTATCTTAATCGCTTCCGCACGCGCACATGGCTACGTCGCCTTCGTGTGACGGCCAGCATGCCCTGATCTCGGTCGGGGTGTGTCATTAGATTAGTTAGAAATACATTTAGTTTGTGTTTATAAGTGCTTTGGGTACTGTTTGAGTCTTTTGGTTTGTTTGAGTGTTTTAAAGTTTAGTTTTGCAATTCTTTGAGTCTAGTATAGTGTTTCATATTGTTATTTTACGTTTTTGAGTCAAATCCAAGTGATTAACAATCCCTCCTAATCCCCGGTCCAGAACGATCCCTACTTATACATATACTACAATTTGACGAAAAGAGGGTTTAATTTGTGTGCGCATAAATCTCGCATCAAAAGTCCACCCTATGGCCGTCTTGTGCTCTTTGAGAACCCTCACCAACTTCTCCTCCTCTTGTGCCGTGAGTGATGAAGCTATAATGACGGGCGATGTGTCTTGCTCGCCCAAAAACACATACTTCAAGTGATTTGGCAACGGTTTGAGCTCAAGTGTAGGTGGTTGTTCTATAGAAGGAAGCAACTTATTAGTTGAAATTGGAATTGAAATTGGACTAGGGGACTTGCCTTGGAGTCGTGGCAATGACTCTAGGGCTGCCACGGTCTCAATTACATCTTCATCAAAGGCCACGGCATGGGTGTTCAATTGTGTGCCGTGGTTTGTTATGGTGACATCCATGTGATCCTTCATTTCTATGCCATTTGTAATGACCGTTTCAAGTGCATCGCCATGTAATTGATCAAAGTGTGCCTGCGCCAAAGAATCAAGAATATCAATAGAGAAACATGAGTGATCATCATTAGGAAATCTCATAGTTTCAGAAATATTAAAATCAATCACTTCCCCATCGAATTCCATTGTTAAAGTGCCTTTAAACACGTCTATCTTAGTTCGAGCCGTCTTCATGAATGGCCTCCCAAGAAGAATCGGCAAGGATGAAGCATGGGTGGTTTCCTCCATTTCAAGGACATAGAAATCCGCCGGGAAGATCAAATCATTCACATGCACTAAGACATCTTCCAATACGCCCTTTGGATAGGCATTAGATCTATCGGCCAACTGAATAATCACACCATCATTTTTCAATTCACCAAGGTTCATTGAAGCATAAATAGAGTATGGCATGACGTTAATTGAAGCTCCTAAGTCTAACATAGCATGTTCGAATTTAGTTTGACCAATAATACAAAGGATTGTAAAGCTACCTGGATCTTTGCACTTTGGTGGTAACTTTCTCTGTAAAACAGCGGAAACGTTCTCACTTACCCTTACTACCTCTTTATGTGACGCCCTCTTCCTTGTAGTGCACAATTCCTTCAAGAACTTAGCGTATTTGGGCACTTGCTTTATGGCATCTAGGAGCGGGATATTGACTTGAACTTTCCTAAACGTCTCAAGAATGTCTTTCTCATGCTCCTCCTTCTTTGTTTGCAAAAATCTGTGAGGAAAAGGAACATTGGGTGGAATGGGGTTAGAATTAATCAAATTTGAACCCAACTTACCTTTGGTGGCCGAATGGTATGGCATGGATGAGTTTTGGTCCTTTTGGGCTTGCGGCAATGGAAGTTGTGTCCTTGCCGTGGGCTTCTCTTCAGCCTTTTCTTCATGTTGCAATGTTTCTTCTTCGTTAGGACTTGTTTTGGATGGTGTGGATGTAGTGCCAACTTCTTTTCCACTCCTCAAAGTAATTGCTTGGGCAGATTCGAACCCTCCTTTTGGATTGACAATGGTTGAACTTGGGAGCTTGCCCTTGTCTCGGAATTGTCCCACAAACTCCGCAATCTGCCCTATTTGCTTCTCTAAGTGGTCCACCCTTTTGTCTTGGTTTTGCAATGCTTTGTTTTGATTTTCTTGCCCCTGAGACAAACTAGTAAGCAACTTAAGAATAGTAGCATTATCTAAAGACGTACCTTGATGGTTTTGGGCGGATTGGGGTTGGGTTTGGTCTTGGCCGTGGGTTTTGGTGTAAAACCCCGAGGGTTGCTGCCTAAAGCCTCCTTGTTGGTAAGGTTGTTGAGGCTCCCTCCACTTGAAGTTTGGATGGTCTCTCCAACCTGGATTGTATGTATTGGAATATGGATCATTCCTTGGTTGATTTTGGCTTGGAAATCCAATGGCGTTTGTACTCTCCCACCCACCATTCTCAATCAATTGAGGGCACTTTTCCGAAGGATGACCTTGAATAGAACATACGCCACATACAATTGGACTATGGATCTTCATTCCTTCGGCCATCTGAGACACAAGAGAAGTAAGATTAGCTAATTGAGTTTGAAGGTCGGATTGAGAACTTACCTCATTCACTTGTTGCCGTGGGGGGTCCCTTTGCCCAAGTCCTTCATATTGTTGTGCATTTAGAGCACGGTTTGCAATTAGGGTCTTGGCTGCCATAGGAGTTTTGTCCACCAATGCACCTCCCGCCGAAGCATCGAGCATTTGCCTTTCAATGGGAAGAAGGCCCTCATAGAAATATTGAAGGAGAAGCTCCTCCTTCATTTGATGTTGAGGACATGATGCAACAAGGGCTTTAAAACGCTCGTAGTATGCCGGAAAAGATTCTCCTTGACTTTGTTGGATTCCGCTAATTTTCTTCCTCAAGAGAATGACTCTTGAAGTAGGGAAGAACTTCTCCAAGAACGTTCTCTTCATGCTCTCCCAAGAAATAACGGTCCCGGGTGCCAATTCATAAAGCCAATCCTTAGCCTTTTCTGACACACCCCGTCCCGAAGGAGGGCATGCTGGCCGTCACGTGAGAGTGACGTAACCATTTGCACAGTTCGGAAGCTTTAAAATATACAACTTCTAAAATACAACACCCGAAGATGAGTCCTTATTTGGTCCATTCTGTCAGAACACCGTTGAATTTCCTCGTAGTCACCACACCTTTGCAATTCTTGAATCTGGAGGGGCGCAAAACAAAGTTGAGTGGGTCAGCAAAACGTACGTATTCAAAACCTTCTTTTCTCTTTGAATATACTAACCCCTCGCCGTAAAACAAATATAGTTTCCCAGAAAATAAACATATATACGTATGTATAAATATGCCAATCATGCTCTTATAGTATGCCATTCATGCTCCACAATATGCCATTTATGCTCGAGAATATGCCACAACAGAATCTCATAATCAAATATAAATGCTCAAGCGTAATTCACATCAATAACATATAATCTAGCAGCCGGGAGTCACCTAACGTGACCTGTACGGCTGTAGATAGAGCTCCACGCTCAACTCAACATCTGAATCTGCACACAAGTCGGAACCACCTAACGTGGTCTGTACGACAGGCTGGGTGTAATATATATATGCTCTAGTGCTACGATCACGTGAAGCTGTGCGATAAATCGCGGGTCACCTACAAGTCGGAACCACCTAATGTGGTCTGTACGACAGGCTTGCACCTAACTTGGATCCAAGGCGAGCATGCGGTGCTGGTGAACATACACGTGAAGGCTGGGCCCTGGCCTCGGGCGGGAGCACTAACACCGGGGGTGCAGATTATGAACTCTCTAAGCATCTCAAACTACTATTGCATAATAAACAGGAATGCATAACAACGTGAACACCGCTTACCTGGCACTTACCTGTGCGCCCACAGCACCAAATACACATATATAAATGTATGCCACTACTAATGCATGTGATGATAATATTTCAATCGTATTTCATACGTATATCAAATGTAGCTTACCTGGGCCTCCTCAGCACCATGCAACAGTATGCATAATTATGGTAATGCACATATTAAAATATGATGCATATATGACAGGATAATTAATTCGTATTTCTTTTAAAATACGTTTTCTGGGAAATACGTCAAGCATACGTATATATATATATATATACTGAAAATAACTGCCCACTCACTGATCACATCGACGTCTCATAGGTCCCTGAACCTCCCCTAGCTTGGTTACATTCTTCCTCTGTATAATTTTCACCTATACAAAAAGTAACCAAATTGACGTTATTTAACGCGCATACACCAAACATTCGTCCATAACTTTCTCATACGTTACTCAATTTGGGTGTATAAATATACCACGGTGATCTACACGACGTCACGAACGCGTGACAATTTTCAGAACTCAATTTGGAGCTCTCACGCGCCCCCACGCGCCCTGTTCACGCGCTGCCCACGCGCGCGTCTTCTTCCTCGCGTCGCCGGACTGGTTTCGCCGGAAATAGTGTTTTGCCGGAATTTCTGGGTAAATTTCAAACTGTCATAACTTCTTCATTTCTTAACCATTTTCGACGTACTATATATCAAAATGAAGGTATTGACGAGACGAACACATCCATACCTTCCTTGACCCCTAACTCGCCGTGGATTCGCCGGAAAAAGCCCCGAAAGCTCCGGCCAAACTTTGAACTTGTCATTCTCCTTGTTCTTACGTCCATTTTTCATGTAATCTATACCAAAATGAAGCCCTAATCATAATCTACCACGTTGGACTAGTTTTAGGGCCTAAAAACAACGGAATCAAACTTTTCCAAAAATCACGAAAATTCGGCCGGACTTACAGTTCGTGATCCCGACGTCCAAATCCTTCAAACGAAGCACTCCGAGCTTCCTTAGGACCTCACCAAGCTTCCTACAAGCTTCAAAATCCCAAAAAACATCAATCTTTACGTGTGCATGAACAGTGCACACGCACAGTGAAATTGAAATACATGTTTTCCGAAGTGAAACTCACCTGAAATTGGTACCATCGTGTTCGTGTGGTCCTCAGGAGTACGATGGTGGTCTTAGATCCTGCGTTGGTATAGTTTTGGGGTGGTTTGTGGGTGGTCCGTGTGAGTTCGAAGGAGAGAGAGAGAGAGAGAGAACTTACAGAGAGAATGAGAGATTTGTGAGGGAGGAGAGAGAGAGACAAGGTACGGGAATGAGGGAGAGATTTGAGGGATGTGGGGTTCCTACCCAATCCCCAAATCATCAAGTTACAACATATTTTACGCCCCTTAGTCCCGTTTAAGGGCATTTTCATAACTTCACGTCCTCGGAATTAAAATTCCGGGACGGGTTGTGACATTTTCCACAAGAGAGAATGGAAAAGCTTTCATCTTCATAATATTCCCATCAACGTTAATGGGTGTCATGCTTGAGCATACAACTTCAAACTCCTTCAAATGTTTGTTTGGATCTTCCATGGACAGCCCATGGTACTTGGGAATATGATGCAGCAAGCTTGACTTCAATTCGAACTCATCGGTCTTGCCAAGGGCCGCCCTTGGGTATTGGATGCACAAGGGTGCGGCATTGGCCAATCCCGAAGCGGAAAGCTCCTTGATTGTTCGGTTGTCCTCTGCCATGTCTTCTTCACCCACTCTTGTCGTGGGTTCCTCTTCTTCAAATTCAGAAACGGACTCGGAACTTTCACTTGATTCGCTAGGTTCTGGGTTCTTTCTCTTTCGTCTCAACTCTCGCTCGAAATCGTCGTCAAAGTCCAAGATATGTTCACGAATCGGATGAGAATTCCGAGTCATAAACTAGTACCTAAAATAAGAAACAAAATAACATAAGAATCTGATCTAATAAGAAAACGAAAATAACAATCCAAAGGATTAGCAAAGTTGCTAATCCCCGGCAACGGCGCCAAAATTTGATGCGTGAATTATACGCACACAAATTAAACCCTCTTTTTGACAATTGTAGTATAGATATAAGTAGGGATCGTTCTTAACCGGGGATTAGGAGGGATTGCAAAATCACTTGGAAACTGACTCAAAAACGTAAAATAAAGTTTAAAACACTAAACTAGACTCAAAGAATGCAAAACTAAACACTTAAAACACTAAAAGAAACCAAAAGACTCAAACAGCACCCAAAACACTCAAAACTGCCTTAAAAACACTTTCTGGGCAGTTTTGAGCACTTTGGTGAATTTGGACGAATTTGTTTAACAAATTGAATCAAAACACTTATAAACACAAACTAAGACACTTTCTAACTAAATTGGAAACTAAAGTAAAGAGGGATTGAGGTTTTGACGAAAATTGAAATAACAAAACAAGTTAATAAACTAGGCAGATTGTAAAACGAATTCCTTGAAAACAAGATAATGGATGGATTAGTTAGAGGTCCATTCTCCACACATGACACTTTTGTATATGAATCGATTCTCCAATTGCTTTTCATTAACTATGATGCTCAACACCCCAAGTTAACCGTGATGCACTAATTAACTCTCAAATTTTCCTTATGTTATTGAATTGGATGATGCATGCGACAATTCAAATCATTCTCCAATGGTTCTCAACATGAATGCATAGAAGAGATACAATGAGAGATCATTATGCTCTATGAAAATTATAAGTGTTGACGAGGCAATTGTAACTATGAATGCATGATACTCTTGCCAAGAATTCAATTAACGCGGTTGTGACTAGCAACCTTCACTACTCATGTTTATAAACTTGTGACGATTAGGTGAAACTCGTTTATAAACTAGCATCGAGTTTATGCATGAAGACTAAGTATGCATCCCTAATCAACATACAAAAACAAGTTTTTAATAAACATGATAATTGAATTGCAATCACAACTTAACAAATCACAATTGGAAGAAATCAATTCATATTTCAAACATGTTCATGCCTTCAAACTTTCCCCTAACTAATTAGGGGTTTAGCCACTCATGATTACAACAAACTTAGAGAGTAATAACAAAGTAAACATTGAAAACAAGAACGAAGAACACCTAAAAATTCCAACAACTCAATCTTGAATTGTATGAACGTTTAGGCCTCTTCTCCTCTAGTTGCTGCAGCACAAGGGGTTTTGGTGAGTTTTGGGGGTTATGGATGATGTAGAATGATGTGTTTAGGGTAGGGATGGATGTAGGGGAAGGCAAGGAGTGTTTTTGGGCAGAAAATATGAAGAATGGTGAAGTATGGCAGTGTTAGAGAGAGGGAATGAATTTCTGGCGTGAATGAATGTGTATGAGAGATGGTCTTCTGAATATGGAAGAGTGTGTGATTTGTGGCTGCAATGGGTGCTTATTTATAGGTGAAAAAGAGGGAATATGACAGCTAGGAACTTGGTGGAAAGCTGAAAATGCATGTGCAATGTTTTGGGAGAAAATGGGAGTGCATGTGGCTGCAATGGATTAAAGGGTGAATGCATGTGCAATGATGAAGTGGGATGGCTGAAATTGTAAGGGGAATGCATGTGGGTGAATGTGTGGCTGCATGGTTGAATGATTAAAGGGTGCATGTGGCTGAATTGGTGGTGCAAAGAAAATGAATAATGAAATGGGAAAGCATGTGCAAGGTTTTGGTGTGAATGATTGAATATGCATGTGGCTGATATGGATTAGGAATCCTTCAATTTCGTCCATTCCTTTTGCTCCAAACATAAGCTATCCATTCCAAGTCCAATTTTGCTCCAAAATGCTCCAAAATGCAACTTTTTGCTTCCTTAGCCATATGAACCTAAAAACACACGAAAATGGCTTAAACTACTAAAACAACTATGAATTAACAATATAAATGCACGAAAACAAGCTAAGTAAGTCGCCTAAATATGCTCCTATCAGAACTATTGAAGAATAATTTGATTGCCTATGCATTATCCATCCAATTCAATGACTTAAGGAAAATCTGAGGGTTAATTAGTGTTGCTCACGGTTAATCTAGGGCATTAAGATTCATGGTTTACTGGAAAAGCAACTGGAAATCGATTTATATGCAAGTGTGTCATGTGTGGAGAAGGACCCTCTAGCTAGCCAATCACCCATCAATTCACCCAAATTCGGATCCCTTTACTTAGTTTCTGCAATTTGTTTGCTTTTACTTTAAATTCGTCAAAAACCCAATCCCCTTTACTTTGGTGTGTCAAATTAGTTAGAATCTGTCCAAACTTGTGTTTTTAAGTATTTTAAGTCAAGTTAAAATTAATTTTCGTCCAAATCACCCTATAGTGTCTAGTTTGAGTCTATTTGATTATTTTGTGCTGTTTTGAGTTCTTTGAGTCTAGTTAAGTGTTTTCAAGCCTAGTCTTGTGTTTTTGACTTAGTTTTGAGTAGATTAGCAATCCCTCCTAATCCCTGGCCTAGAACGATCCCTACTTACATATTTACTATAATTGTCAATAAGAGGGTTTAATTTGAGTGCTATTATAAATCACATCAAATTTTTGGCGCCGGTGCTGGGGATTAGCAACTTTGCTAATCCCTCTTATTTCTTTTTTGTGTATTTTGTTTTAGTTTCTGACTTTGTTTTGTTTTCTTGTTTTTAGGTACGAGTTTATGACTCGAAGTTCTCAACCGGTTCGTTAGCATATCTTTGATTTTGATGGCGATTTTGAACGAACTTTGAGAAGGAAAAGGAAAGAGATAGAACCTAATCCACCTAGTTCTAGCTCATAATCTGAGTTTGAAGAGGAAAAAGATGCCATGGCTCATGAATTAGAGGAAGCACAAGTCATGGCAGCGGATAATCGAACAATCAAGGAACTTTCAGCCTCGGGATTGGACAATGTCGTACCCCTATGCATTCAATATCCTAGGGCAGCTCAAGACATAACCGATGAGTTCGAATTGAAGTCTAGCTTGCTGCATCACATTCCCAAATACCATGGGCTGTCCATGGAAGATCTAAACAAGCACTTAAAGAAATTCGAAGTGGTATGTTCAAGCATGACTCCAATCAACGTAGATGGCAACATTTTGAAGATGAAAGCTTTTACATTCTCTCTTTTGGAAAAAACTAAGGATTGGTTGTACGAATTGGCACCTTGAACCGTCACCTCTTGGGAAAGCATGAAGAGAGCATTCTTAGAGAAATTTTTCCCAACTTCAAAAGTCATTCTTTTGAGAAAGAAGATTAGTGGCATTCAACAAAACCAAGGAGAATCATTTCCAGTGTATTATGAGTGTTTCAAGACTCTAGTTGCATCATGCCCTCAACATCAAATGAAAGAAGAGCTTCTAATTCAATATTTCTACGAAGGACTTCTTCCAATTGAAAGACAAATGCTAGATGCCTCAGCGGGAGGAGCTTTGGTTGACAAAACACCCATTGCTACCAAGACCCTAATTGCGAACCGAGCCTTAAATGCACAACAATACGAAGGAGTTGGATAGAGAAACCCCCCACGACAGCAACATGTGAATGAGGTAAGTAAAATATCTGAAATTCAATCTCAATTGGTTAATCTTACTCTTCTTATGTCACAGGTTGTTGAAAGACCCAAAATGTAAGAAAACACAATCTGTGGTGTATGCTCTATACAAGGACACCCCTCTGAGTAATGACCTCAATTGATAGAGAATGGAGGATGAGAAAGTGCCAATGTTGTGGGCTATTAAGGCCAAAATCAACCAAGGCATGATCCATACGCCAACACTTACAATCTGGGATGGAGAGATCATCCAAACATGAAGTGGAGGGAGCTTCAACAACCTCAACAACAATGAGGATTTCAACAGTTTTCAAAGGCCATTTGCACCAATGCAACCTCAACCACCTCCGATTCAACCAAATTCAGGTACGTCTTTGGATAATGATAAAGTTATTCAATTACTCACCTCTTTGACTTAGGGAATACAAAATCAAGCTAAAGGAGGTTGATTTTTCAAAGGCCATTTGCACCAATGCACCCCTAGTGATTTTGTTGACAATGCTACTACTTTTGAGCCTTCATCGCAATATACTGGTGAGCCACCTATTCCAATTCCAATTCCCATTTCAACTAATAGGTTGTTACCTTCTTTGGTGCAAGTTCCCAATCGAATACAAGGTGGTGAGAGAGTTTACATGGACTTTAGGAAGCTCAACGCCACAATCAGGAAGGATCACTATCCTCTTCCATTCATTGAGCCTTATTATGAGTATTTTGACGAGCATGTCAAGGAGGAAATACCCCTTTATGCCATGGGCTACAATGAAACTTAAAATGAGATATCGTTCGGCTGGAAGATGTTAAAGCAAGCGCTTCTTGGGAGGAAACCCATGCATTCAAATAAAGAGACCTAGGACTCTCCGACTCCTACAACCAGATCTGCTCTC